GGTCCGGGCTGGGGATTCGAACCCGCCACCTTAGGTGTACATGGCTGGCGCCTTAGCCGGTTGAGCTATAGGCGCCGAGCCCTAGCTGCTGTTTTTAAGGCAAATGTTTATCTGTAGTGATAGGTCCCTTCACTTGAAATACAAATCTGGCTTCGTGCACGTTTGTTGTTGGAAAATGGAGACGTGTTTAGCCTTTGCAGATAATTGTGGGTACACCCAAAGTCAGCAATTGGTTGTTTTGTAAAGAATATTTGCAGAGTGGGATTTGAGACTGCGTCAGTAAACATTTTGTACTTGGGTGTGTTAAAGTCCATTGGTCTTGAACGTTGAGTAGATCTTTACCCATTTGTGATCTGGTAACATTTGGCATTGTTCAATTTTTTGCAAAATATTGGTTCACTTATAGATCTTTCTTTTTTTTTTTTTTTTTTTTAGTAGAGACAGTCTCATTCTGTTGCCCTTGGTAGAGTGCCATGGCGTCACACAGCTCACAGCAACCTCCAATTCCTAGGCTTAGGAGATTCTCTTGCCTCAGCCTCCTGGGTAGCTGGGTCTACAGACATCCGCCACAACCCCCAGCTACTTTTTTGTTGCAGTTTGGCTGGGGCTGGGTTTGAACCCACCATCCTCGGTATATGGGACTGGCGCCCCTACTCACTGAGCCACAGGCACCACTCCACTTGTGGATCTTTCAATGTAAAATAAAAAAAATCACATTTGTTAATGTATTAGTCTGCTAGGGCTACCATAACAAAGTACCACAGACGAGGTGGCTTAAACAACAGAAATTTATTTCTCACAATTCAGGAACCTGAAAAGTCCAAGGTCAAGGTCTGGCTGAGTGGGTTTTCAGCCAGAGCTTCTTCCTGGCTTGGAGACAGCTGCCTTCTTGCTATGTCCTCATATTGTAGACAGAGAAAGCAGGTGCGCTTTCTGGTGTTTCTTTTTTATTTTTATTTTATTTTTTTAATAGACACAGGGTCTCAGTCTGTTACTCAGGTAGGGACTCCTGGGTTCAAATGGTCTTCCCACCTCAGCTTCCAGAGTAGCACTATGCCTGGCTATATTTTTTTTTTCCCAGTAGAGATAGGATCTCACTATGTTTCCCAGGCTTGTCTTAAACTTTTGGCCTTCCAAAGTGTTGGGATTATAGGCATGAGCCACTGTGCCTGACTATGGTGGTTTTTCTTTCTTTAATTTTAGAATATTATGGGGATACAAACTTTTTGGTTACATAATTTGCTTTTGTACAGCCGGGCATGGTGGCTCACTCTCATAATCTTAGCACTCTGGGAGGCTGAGGTGGGTGGATTGCTTGAGGTTGGTCAGGCGTTCGAGATTAGCCTGAGTAAAAGCTAGACCCCATCTCTGCTAAAAAATAGAAAAACTAACTGGATGTTGTAGCAGGCGCCTGTAGTCCCAACTATTTGGGAGGCCAAGACAAGAGGATTACTTGAGTCCTAGCATTTGAGGTTGCTGTGAGCTATAATGCCATAGTACTCTACCCATGGCAACGGAGTGAGATTCTGTTTCAAAAAGAAGAAAAATTCTTTTGTACAGTAAAGGTGCTTTTTCTTTTCTTTTTCTTTTTTTTATTGAGACAGAATCTCACTTTGTTACCCACAGTAGAGTGCAGTGGTGTCATAGCTCACAGCATCTTCAAACTCTTGGGCTCAAGCGATTTTCGTGCCTCTGCCACCCTAGTAGCTGGGACTTCAGGTGCCTGCCAGGATACCCAGCTATTTGTTTGTTTGTTTGTTTGTTTGTTTAGCAAGCCTGGGCTGGATTCGAACCCACCAGCCCTGGAGCATGTGGCTGGTGCCCTAATTACTGAGCTATGGGCTCCCCAAGTTGCTTTTTATTTGACAGAGCCTCAAGCTGTCCCTCTGGGTAGAGTGCCATGGCATCACAGCTCACAGCAACCTCCAACTCCTGGGCTCAAGCGAGTCTCCTGCCTCAGCCTCGCAAGTAGCTGGGACTACAGGCCCCCGCAACAACGCCTGGCCATTTTTTGGTTGCAGCCATCATTGTTGTTTGGCGGGCCTGGGCTGGGGATTTGAACCTGTCACCTTAGGTGTATGTGGCTGGCGCCTTAGCCGCTTGAGCCACAGGCGCCGAGCCAAGTTGCCTTTTCTTATAAGGATAATAGTCCTATCGGATCAGGAACTCACCCTCATGACTCTCCTTGAACTTTAACTTCCATAAAGGCTCATGTCCAAATGCACTTACATTGGGGATTAGGGTTGTTCATAACTGTTAATATTACTACCACTCTCATCAGAATTTTTAATTTTTTTGAAAGCTTGAATTTTATCATTTTAGTGAGCACAGTCAGTTGTTTCCATTGAAGTAATAGCCCACTTGGCTCATGTATGAAACATTGTCTACCAAGTGCTTGTCTGAGTGGCTGTGGTCTGCTAGCTGTTATTCCTAGTAAAACTGAGCAGAGCAGCCCTCACCTCAACACTCAGTCTCACAAGTGAGCTTCTTTGAGGGACCTGCCTTACTTTGATATCCAGGTGCTATATGTGTGCTTCCCATTTCCTCACACATAAAATCAAAATATCTGCTCAGGGTGAGATTTAACAAAATTACTAATTTTATCCAGGATATTCATAAGTGAAATTGTCCTCTCTTTGTCTCTGAGGAGTATAAAACGACAGCTTATGTGGGATGACGTGCTGGCCTCAGCTTGTACAAGGTGCTGGCCTTTTGCTGGCTGTTGATTCTGTACCATCAGTGCAATGTCTATGCAGCAGAGAATAGAAATAGTGTCTTAGTGCTGTTATGAAAGTGGCTTCTTCTTGGGTTACCCAGAAAAGGTCCCAGGGGCCTCTGGAATGCCACATCCACCTCCCCAACAAATACAGTCAGGAATGGTGGTGAGTATGCTGAATGTGGTCCATCTGTGAAGTCCTACCAGAAAATAAAAGGGGGAACTTGATTCCCGGGGAGAAGGTTGGAGGTGCCATCCTGAGGAAGAGCTTGTTTTCCATATGGATTTGAAGTTCCCCAGAATGAGTCAGGGCAGGAATTGGGGGGGTGGGCAGATGCTGACATTTTGGGTAAATGAGAGGGAATGTCTAGGATGTTGGAATCACCCAAGGGGGTCTGGGAGGAGTATGGGCAGGCAGCACTAGGTAGGAATAGAGAGAGGAGAGAGAAAGTGATTTGAAAGCAGTGCTAGAGAGGAACATAATGATAATTTGTATCTCTTCCTTCCAAGGAATTAAATGCCTCATTTCTATTTATTTGTGAGTCCAGGTGCTCTTGTTCCAGGGTGTGATAGGAATTTCTCTGGCTACTCATGTTTGACACAGTGTAAGCTGACAGTTTTTCCGTTATATTGATGAGGCTTCATCAGATTATATATTTACTGAGTGCTTTTTTCCTAAGTCAGAAGTGGATATTGGATTTCACTAAATGCCTTTTCAGATTTGTTGTTTTCCCTTTGGTTTATTATCATGAGTTGTGATGGCAGAGTGGTTAGATATCTAGCCATCCTTGCCTTCCTAGAATTAGCCATGCACAGAGCAGTGTGGTGCAGATGGGCAGGCTAGTTAGCTACACTCTTCCCTGGTGACCTCTAGGTTCAAGTGTCTCCTCTGCATCTGTCCCAGGGGTCGTAAGGGAGTTCCTGGGTGAATGTCAGGCCTGGGTCTGGCTGGTAAGTGCTGTAGTGGGTTATGGCAGTGGTCCTTGTGGTGGCCAGCAGAGCTCAGGGAGGAGGAAGGGACCTAGAATCCCCCAGAGCAGTCCTTCCTGACAGGGCCCTGTCCCCCTCCCCTGTTCAGAGCAGCGACATGCCCCTTGATGAGCTGCTTGCCCTCTACGGCTATGAGGCATCAGATCCCATCTCAGAACGGGAGAGTGAGGGTGGTGACGTGGCGCCCAGCCTCCCGGACATGACCCTGGACAAGGTGAGCAAGGTCTCTTACTGGAACTGGGCCTCAGCAAAAGTAGGGAGCCCACACAGAGCCCCTGGCTGCTCTGGGCAGGAGGGTGGTGTTTGATGAGAGGAGGCACAGAGGCCCCCAGAACAAATGGAAACATGGTCAGGAAGCAGAAGGCTAGCTTGTAGATTGCTTACTGTGACCAGCCACCCAGGGCAAGAATGGCCATGGGGGAGTTGGAACAGAGAGACCCTGCCCTCAGGCTGGTTGTCATTCTGGCTGAGTGGGTGGTGGGACAGCAACTGGGAGGGGAGATGATCCAGTAATCAACTTCCCAGGGCTAGCCTGTGATGCCCCCATTCGGGGGTCATGGGTCAGGTGTCAGGGGCAGGGAGGGGGTTACTATGGGAGTTTAAAACCAAAAGTACAGGTAGAGAGCCACCTGCTTCAGATGGGTGCCTGGGGCAGCTTTTACCATCCCAGCTTTGGTAGTCGGATATGGGCTGTGCTCCCACACTCCAACCCTGTCTACCCTCAGCTGCACTATCCCAGTGCCTCAGTTTCTTTACCTGCAGAATGGGATTAATAGCCCATGTGAGCCTCAGGACACTCCAGTGAGGGAGGCTTCTGTCACTGTTTTTACTAGTGTTTTGATATTGTTAGAACAATATGTGTGAAATATTCTTTACCTTCTTGTTAAAGGAACAAATAGCAAAGGATTTGCTTTCAGGCGAGGAGGAAGAGACACAGTCCTCAGCTGATGACCTTACTCCATCTGTGACCTCCCATGAGGCCTCCGACCTCTTTCCTCATCAGAGTGGCTGTAGGTGTCCATGGCCTGTCCCCGACTTTGTGAGCCCTTGTGAGACACCAATGATATGGAGGCATTAGGGCTGGGGCTTGCTGAAAGCACCACACAGATGAGGGCATCTGCCCAGGGCTCATCTGGCCTTTGAGCTGAGACTCGTGGTGGTTTTGGTTTAAATAGGTAGCCATCAAGGGATAGGGATAGCATGCCACGCCCTGAACCATCCTCCCTCAGGGCTGTCTGCCTCTGTGTGTGCTTTTCTTGGTGACTGTGGTGTAGCCACTGCAAAGGAGGAAGAACCTCCTTCATATATGCATTCTGGGTCCTACACCCACCCACCAGGCACCCATGTGCCTGACACCAGGTTGGGGAGGGGCATCACTCCTCAGAGAAGGGGTGTGCAGGCTACAGTCAATGGAGACTCTGGGCCTGCCCTCAGCACAGCAGGAGAGGAAGGGCTAGACTGCATAGTGCCACAGACATATCTAACTTCTTCCCTTTTCTGAAAGCTCGTTTCCTGACTGATGAAGACAAAGAGCCTGGCTCTTCAGCCTCCTCTGACACTGAGGAGGACTCTCTTCCTGTCAACAAGTGTAAAAAGGTGCGTGACTCTGATATCCCCCTTCTCTGGAGCATCACAGCTGGGCCTGTTGTTGTGTCCTTCCTCAGAGGAGGGCATGAGTCCCTGGTCTCTTGGGGTGGGCTGAGACTCAAACCTGGACCCTAGGGCCTAGCGTCAGGACAGTTTCATACACCTAGGCCTCTGCTTCCTGTCCTTATACCACAGACCTAGATGACAGTGGGCTGACTACCTAGATGAATCTGGGGTCCAGGCAGCAGCCCTGCATCTGGAGCCTACCATAGCACTATAGTGCTGGCCTCCTGCCAGGATGTATCCTCAATGCCCTGATACCTGGGCCTTTTTCTTTGTAGGAGATCATGGTTGGGCCTCAGTTCCAAGCTGACCTCAGCAACCTACACTTGAACCGGCACGGTGAGAAGAGTAAGTAGGGTCCTAGAGAAGAGGGGTTCCACTCTAGCAGGGTGCTGCTGCAGGGCAGAGGACTTGCTGGAAGTTATGACTTCAGAAAAGTCTGAGGCATCCAGCCGGGTTGGGAGTTTACCCTGTATATCCTGTTGGGCTGGCTAAGCTTGGAGCATAGTGGCGAAGGCCACGATAGAAGAGCTAGGGTGGCCCACGTGGCTGCCTGTGGGCCTGCCAGTGTTGTTGCTTCCTTAGGGTCTGCTACCTTCACTCTGTGTGTTCAAACTCCCAGCAGCCTACCCTGTCCAGATCAGCCCAACCCTAGCCTCTGTTCCATCTACCCCTTCTGCACTATCTCCCTCTCCTGGAGGATGCTGCAGGGCAATGCTGCTTCTCTTGAGGCCTGACACAGGCACCCTCCTTGCAGAAAGACCTTCTGTTGGCTCACTCTCCTCTGCCTTGTTTCTTTTCAAGGCATTCCCTTTCCTGGGAGTGCCTCTATTGCTTCTTTGAGATGGGACGTTACCTGCCAGTTGACCTGGGTCTTGTTCTTCTTGCCCTGGATCTGTGCAGAGGCAGGTTCCTGGTTCAGGAACCTTTCCCAAAATGATTTGGCAGCTGGGAATGGGGGTGGGGATAGACCCAAGCATGAGTGCTGGGGTCAAGGAGACAGGCACCCTTAGGGAACGAAGGGTTCCTCCTAGGGTCAGGGTTGGCTCAGGGGTGGTGGTGTATGCTTACTTAGATGTAGGACAGGCACAAGAGCATGCAGCCAAGCTGGAACATCCAAGAGGCAGTGTTAGAGAGGACACATGGGACCCTCACCTCAGCTATGCCCTGAGGAACCCAGGCTTCTGTATAGGCCTCAATCTGGAACCTCAGCCTTAGAGCATGTTATCTGGGTCCCTTTCCTGTCATGCCTCACCCGCCATGAGTGTGCCCTCTCCAGAGCAGCCAGTCCTTAATCCTGTGGGAGGAAGGTTCGCCGCTCATTCTGTATTACATTCCTATGGTTGTGTGTATCTTGTGCATTGTATTGTGTTCTTTTGTTTGGATGTACCACATGTGATTATCCATCCTACCATTGGTCAATATTATGGTTGTTTCCAGGTGTGTGGATTGTGTATGTTCTTATCTGTTTTTTGTTGTACTTATGCACTCAGGAGAGCTGGGAGTATGGTAGTATACCCTGAAGTTTATAAACTTGGCTCAGGAATTTCCTACTGGCACTTTGTGGGAGTTCCAGTTGTTCCACATCTTCAGCCTTTATTCTGAGCAAATAGTATCATCCATGGAGTTTTCTACAATGGCATCTACAAAAGAGCTATGAGACTGAATTAAGCAGGACACATATTTTATAGAGAGCTGACAATTTCCCCACTGTAGCCAGTTGCCCTAGTACTTTTCTTCACAGGCTGATAATCCACAAAACTGCTAGTGTTTCTGAGTTGCTTGTTATTTTCACGTACACTAGGTATTTTACTTTGACAGGAAACAGACAAAGATGTGGGAAACCAGCATTCTGATGGGAGGGCACACTTTTTGGAGTGCAATTTTGTACTGCAGATAAAGAACCTTAAATAAATAAATAGTAAATATTTAACTCAGTAATTCTACCTTTTGGAATCTATCTTAAGGAAATAATCATTCATACAAAGACTTAAATATAAGAATTGGCCAGGTGCAGTGGCTCACACCTATAATCCTAGCACTCTGGGAGGCCAAGGTGGGTGGATTGCCTAAGCTCATGGGTTTGAGACCACCCTGAGCCACAGTGAGACCCTGTCACTAAAAACAGCTGTTATGGTGGGTGCTTGTAGTCCCAGCTACTTGGGAGGCTGAAGCAAGAAACTCACTCACTTGAGCCCAAGAGTTGGAGGTTGCTATGACCTGTGATGCCACAGCACTCTACTGAGGGCAACAAAATGAGACTGTGTCTCAAAAAATAAATAAATAGAAAGAATTCCATTGAATCGATATCTGTAACAGGAAAAAAAAAAACAGAAACAATGTAGATGTTCAATGATCATGTTATAATGTATTTTTTATGTAGCCATTTATGTTTCTGAAGAATTTTTAGAAAGAGGGCAATTCATGTTAGATTTTAAAACTTAGAAAAAAATTTAATTCTAAACTAGCAAAAAATTATGCATTATATATTGCTGTTAAACATTGATTTCATAAGTACCACTGTAACACTGAGGAAATGTTTCAAAATGTTGATAGTAGTTAATGCTGAATGACAGGACTTAACAGATTCTCATTTTCTCCTGTTTCCTAAATTGTCCTCACTTACCTTGTACTACTTATATATCTGAATCCCAGAACCTCCCCTGCAGCCCAAGGGCAATGGCAAGAATATTTGAAGGTTCTGTAGCTGAAAATAAACTAAGACGTAGAATAGTAGCTCATTTTTATTTTCTGTAATAACAAACATGTAAGCACTAAACAAAGCAAGTGGACCCTAAGCACCCAAGAGCCAATATAGGCCGCTACACTAAAGTAGCAACTACCATGATAATCACTGCACTAAGGAAGGATGCTCTTTGGGGGACACAAGGTCAGACCTTGTCTCCTTTTCCCAGTCTAGGCTTAGTAGGAAATGGGCCCGAAGTGCTGCATAGTCTGCACTGGAAGGGAAAGCTGATCAAGAAAGTTGACGATGGAAATTTATAGCAGGCAAGAGTCTTTTAACTTTCCAATAGAGGGTCACGAGACAGTCACTCACTGTATGACCTTTCCCAACCGCCCTTAGGTGGGAGTCAGCATCCAGAGCCAGAGACCCATGGGTGATTTCTGCTTCTAAGGGGGTCAGGAAAGGCACACTGAGGGTGTGGGAATATTCCTGGCCTTCTGGCTATGGGCATGATGGCATCTCTACCTGGACCTGGGGCATACATGGGGAGCTCCACTGGCCACAGTTGCTGCTGTGCATGTACCACTAGGGTAGCCTTGGCCACCATGGCTATCCTAGTCATCAGTGCCCTCTGCCTTGTTAATTTTATTCTTTTTTTGAAAGAGAGTCTTTCTTTGTCACCCTCCGTAGAGTGCTATGGTGTCACAGCTCACAGCAACCTCCAACTCTTAGGCTTAAGTGATTCTTTTGCCTCAGCCCCCCAGATAGCTGGGACTACAGGCACCTGCCACAATGCCTGGCTATTTTTTTGTTGTAATTGTTTAGCTGGCCTGGGCCGGGATTGAACCTACCACCCTTGATGTATGTGGCTGGTGCTGTAACCACTGTGCTATGGGCGCTGAGCCCTTGTTAATTTTAGTCCTTCTGGTGAGTGTGTACTGCCGTCTCCTTGTGGTATTGATTTGCATTTCCCTGTGAATAATAAAACATCAAGCACCTTTTTGTATATTTATTGGCCTTTTGGATGTTCTCTTATGAAATGCCTGCTTTTCCCTGTTTTTAACTTTGGTTGTGTTTCTCTTTCTGATTTGTAGGAGTTGTTTACATGTTATGAACATAAGTCATTTGTTGGCTATGTGCACTGCCAGTGTTTTCTCCCATTTTGTGGCTTGCCTTTGATTCATTCAATAATGTCTTTAATCTTAATAAAGTCCAACTTGGCTCGGTGCCTATAGCTCAACCGGCTAAGGCGCTAGCCACGTACACCTAAGGTGGCGGGTTCGAATCCCCAGCCCGGACCCGCCAAAACAACAATGACGGCTGCAACCAA